AAAAAAGGATTTACGAAGGTGTAGTCTTGAACGGCGGTCTCTTTCTGTTCATTATTCGTACACATGAACACCTCTTTTAGTTGAACGGTCTACACGTCGAAGTAAAATATAAGGAGATTAAAATAGCACAGGGAAAGCTCTTGTAAGCTTCTTGTTTGTAGGTGTTTCAATAACTGGTCCAACTATTGTTTGGAAAATTATATATTGGAATGAAATGAAAAATCGCCAAATTTTGCTCTGTCTTTTGTGTCTGAGATCCATGATTATGAAACTAGAAGCACATATTTGCAGCACCTGAACACTTGCACCTTCAGGATAAACGTAAAGAGATTCTGTCCAATAGTTATAGGATGCTACTATTGAAATGATATTCCTATGTCAATGCGAGAGAAGCCCACTAGAAAATTTTTAAAAGTGCAGTTTTTATGTGTTATTTCACTCAGTATTTATCAATGTCTTCCTTTGACCACGTAATATTAATATGTTGTTAAAAGTATGATTTCCATTCCCTCTCTTAGATATGAATTGCTTTCGTTTTATTGCATGAAAAAATGTTATTTGGCGTAAAGGGCATCTAATAAGCTTGCTTTATTATGCCCATCTCCATTTTTTGTTTTATTTTGTTGTAATTATTCAAAGGTTGTGATTTTTTAAATAAAGGAGATGATGATGCATGTGTTTTCGACATATGAAACTGGGACTATGACTACTTCAAAAGACTTTACTACATGCCATATAGGTACAGGCAGGTGTTGTAAAAAAAGTTTGCTTAGCTTTTTCATTAGTACACATTTTTTTTTCTAAGAACCTCGTTTATCCAGCCTGTGCTGAATTCTAATTTTTCAACCAAATTTTTTTTTTTAAATATTATTAGTTCTCTTAGTATCAGTTAATATTCTTGTAATTAAGATAATTACATCAAATCTTGCAGATGTATGGCAGATTATTTTTTCTCTGAACCTCCTAACATTTTACCATTTGAAGAGACTGGTATTGGCTATAAAAGTACAGTAAAATTAAAGGTTTTTGTGCAACCTATGCATCTAGTTTTTGTTATAAATTTTGTATCCTTCTCAAAACTAGTTTATCAGAATAAGAATGAGTTACCGAGAACAAGTAAGGCTTTCATGATGATAGTTTCCAGATTTGAAAAAAAGTCACTGCCTCCTAAAATCCTCAGTTCCTTTGCCTTGATAGCCCAACCTCATCAAACTATTACCAAAAGGAGTGATTAGCAAATTATTGATACAGACAATCCTGTTAGCTTATAATTACTATGGTCATGGCATTTCAAACACGGTGTATATGCCCTAAGTTTTCCATTTCCCTGACTAATTACTTTGTAATGGTGTTTATATGTTGAGGAAATGGTTGGGTTGAAATATAATACAAAAACATAGATAATTTTATTACAGAGACTTGCCAGTAGATAGTTTTATTACAGTTTTTATTCAGTGTAACGTAGGGCTGGAAAATAAACTAATAAGAGCTCCGCTAATTAATAATACAGATCACAGCGAGTCAATCAAGTAGCGCTCCTTTCGCTTAATAATCAATGTAAGCTACAAAGTACGTTAATGAACTTTTGTGTTCATACCATTTAATTTGATACGATAAATAAGATAAAAGATCTATAATAAAGTAGGTTCCGTCTTCTTCTTTCCATGATAGAAATTTTACACATTCTTCGTTAGGTGCAAATCCATACCCACCCCTCGTTCGAGACATTCCCACACCATCGAACACCTTTGTTTTATCTTCAAAAGTGCTGAGCTGTACAAATCCGGTCAAAGGGTCAGCGGTGTTTACCCGATCGACCCAGATGGTTTAGGTACCTTTAATGTGTATTGTGACCAAATTACAGCCGTTGGGGGATGGACAGTGATCCAGGAAAGAATGGATGGCTCTGTCAATTTAACCGCACTCAGGATGACTACAAACATGGCTTCGGTACTTGGTCGGTGAATTTTGGCTCGGACTGGACAAGATAAACCGCCTGACCCGAAACAAGACAACAACAACAACAAAAAAAGCTTCGAGTAGATTTAGGAGTAAAAACTGGCAAAACTGTTACCTTGAGTATGGCTGGTTTGGGACTGGGACCGAGACAGCTAACTACCGGCTATACCTTGGCACTATCATAAGTAAGTAAACCGTTTTTTTGGCATTCATCGCTCAATTTTTATACATTGCTTCTCTCTCACCTAAATCTCGATGTTTTACTCTTCTTGGTCGAATAATGGTATTATTAAGTAGCAGGGTAGTCCTGAGGTAGACCCACACGTTCTGATTGGTTTTTACTTGGTCGGGAGTTTGGTCTGAGTGCCACATAACAAACTTGTTACTTCTTACTAGCCTTATTTTATTTGTTTATTCATTTATTTATTTTGTTTCATTTTTTTGGGGAAAACAACAAGTTCGAAGCTATAAAGACATTATACGGACCCTAGAATTATGCGGATTTCTTTCTTTCTGTTTTGAAACAGATGCTTCTGTGTCCTCTGATTCACTCGCTCCTCGCAGAGATTATTCAATTTCTTTCACGAAGTCACATTGCCGTTTTCCTTCACATCGAAAATTTGCCTGGACTGGAGTGATATAGTCCAGTTTGTTTGGATGTATGTGGTACGCAGAGGCTGGTAGAAAACACAGTCAGTTTTGTGTTTAGAGGCTTTGGTTTGCCTACTGAATTGCGTATGTTAAAACTTTTGTTGTTTTTAGAATATATATATATATATATACTTTTAAAGCTTTATATAATTTTCTTGCATGCTTGAGGACAGTTTTTCCAGAAGGTACAATATTCTGTGACAGTAAACTTAACGAAAAAGAAGTCAAAACAAAAAGCGAATTAACATACAAATGAAACAGGTGAAAGAACTTTTTATGCGCTTCAAACTTTTTATGCGCTTCAAACTTTTTATGCGCTTCAAACTTTTTATGCGCTTCAAAGTTTTTATGCGCTTCAAACTTTTTATGCGCTTCAAACTTTTTATGCGCTTCAAACTTTTTATGCGCTTCAAACTTTTTATGCGCTTCAAACTTTTTATGCGCTTCAAACTTTTTATGCGCTTCAAACTTTTTATGCGCTTCAAACTTTTTACAGGCAGCAACGGAATTTCTCTTATATTGAAATAAATTTTCATTAAGCCCACCATGAATGAAGGTCAGGCTTTCAGCCACTCTTATTAGCGCCCATTGTGTCCTAAATAACTTTAAGAGTGTCTGGAAAGATCTCCTCCGTGGTGTCTGGTCAAATGTGTTGAGATTTCATTAAAGCTATTTCATCATTTATCCTCAAGTTTTCAGGAGAATCTTACTATTTGTCGGACCTGAAATAAATTTTTGTGGCAGGGAAAGTAAAATACGAGAAGAGTTGGCCGTTTTCTCTCCACCCGTAAAACTGATATGAACCACTTGTGTTTGGGAGTAAGTTGCTAAATTAAGATTAAGTGTCATGAATACGATGAAACAAGGGAAAATGGTGCTAATCCGTTAAACTGGTAAACCCAGCAAAGTCATTGAATATCACGTTTGTTGCCTCGGAGCACGTTCCGGATTTCCCTGAGTATCAAAATGTATCAAATATAAGGATTTCTGATTGATGCATTCCCTCTGATACAATGCTGCGGAAAACTACAAATTTGAAGAAGATAACATATCCACTATTGGCCATATAAGGTGTCATCGAACTGTTTCGGTCTCTATCCAAAAACATTTAAAGAAGTTTGTATACAAATGCAATGTATGCAGGAAACTAACCTATGAGGTATGGCACTCTTGAGAGCGGAACTTCGTCGCAAATCTACTCATTACAAATCAATAAGCTTTCGAAACTCTGCATACGGAAACTTCATCGTTGACCCAAGAAATATTAGGTATGTTATTCACATAATTTCAATTCGGTTCCGATCTCATCGAGAAATTTGAATGCAAATGACACAATTATTAGATAACTGATGTACCTGAAATATTCTGGAAATTTTTGTGTAGTGTTTTTAGTTATATAAATGCTAAAACACAGAGAATGAAAACGGTGTCAATCAAAATCTGACCGAATGAAGGTATCACATTACTGAGTAATTTCAATTAACCGTGAATGACTTTTGACAAAATTGGGTCAAGCGAAAAAGTGCATTAGTAACGACATGTGAAAGAAAACCTGCAACCACATTGTGGAAAGAGAATGTGGTTATTCTATGTCATGAAATAGAGTATTTATGAAACATCACAGAATTGGTCAGTGTGCGTATATCGAATTATGGATGCACGCGAGAAGTTGGAGAGCAGGTACATCAAAGTCTCTAAACACAAAACTGACTGTGTTTTCCACCAGCCTCTGCATACCGCAGACATCCAAAGAAACTGGACTGTATCACTCAAGTCCAAGTAAATTTTCGATATGAATGAAAACGGCAATATGACTTTAAGAAATAAATTGAAGAATGTTTCATTAATTAGCTGTCTGAACAGTGTGCAAATAGTTAAGGCTAAACTGAGAACGTATGTCCCTTGTCTGTTACTCAACTTTTCAACCCTTGAAATTTTAAGTATATCGGCGAAGAATTCCATGAGACTAATGATAACATTTCCTACTTTGGAACATAATTTTTTTTGTCATTCTGTTTACACGGAAGTAAATAGCAGGAGTTATTGCGCTCAGTATGTTGCATAGACATTTGAAACATGTTAAACTAATACTTTTACACAAGTAAGCGGTTACACAAGGCCGGGAAGTGGACTTCGATACCATAACGTATTCGTCAGATCAAGCGAAAGATCCTCACTGCAAATAACAAAACATTTCTGATACCAACTGATTACGATATATCTTCTTTACAACAACAGTGTAGTCGAGTCTATGATGCTGTCATTAATCTAATTTGCACTCTAAAAATCTTGAAGTAAAGAGATTGAAAAAAGTAATCGGTGTTTTATTGTCACACAAACCACTTCTTGATATTTGCAAACAGTAGATGCACATTTCATGTAAGTAGAATTCAAGCCACGCGCATAAATTCCACTGGTCTTATTTTCATTTCAGCTGATGTTGGAGCGCTTCCCTTGGCACTTCTCTCTAAGTATCCCCAGTGGATAGCGGCCAAGGTTTCTTTTCCACAACGTGGATAAATACCATTAAGATTTGACGAAACAGCACATTGGGTAATACTGCTGTCATACCACCAGCCTCCTCCTATTTGTTGAGCACAACCAGCAGGAACCTTATCCCAGGTACCAAAAACGAAACCTTTATGAGGACCGAGTGAATCATTGGAAACAGTGGCATCTGTTTCAAAGTAGAACAAAAAAAAATCCGCATAACTTAAGGGTTCGTATAGTGTCTTTGCAATTTAAAAACGGTTGTTTTCCGTTAAAAAAATAAAAAATAAATAAAAGAAAAATTAAAACCCTCACCGAGGCTAGAACCCTGCTACTTAATAATACCATTATTCGACTACGTGGAGTTTTAGATCGAGATTTTGACGAGAGAGAAGTAACGTATAAAGATCGAGCGATGAATGCTAAAAAAACGGTCTACTTACCTATGATTTTGCCAAGGTCTAGCCAGTACTTAGCTGTCTCGGTCCCAATCCCAAACCAGCCATACTCAGAGTGAACAGTCTTGCCAGTTTTTACTCCTAGATCTACTCGAAGCTTGTTCTTTGTCTTGTTTTGTGTCAGGCGGTTTATCTTGTCTAGTCCGAGCCAAAATTCACCGACCAAGTTACCGAAGCCATGCTTGTAATCATCCCAGCTGCGGTTAAAATCGACAGAGCCATCCATTCTCTTCTGGATCACCGTCCATCCCCCACCGGTTGTAGTTTGGTCACAGTATACATTAAAGGCGCCTGAACCATCCGGGTCGATTGTGTAAACACCGCTGACCCTTTGACCAGATTTGTACAGCTCAGCGCAGTTCTTAGCTATTGAAGATAAAATAAACGTGTCCGATGGCGCGAGAATGTCTAAAACGAGGGTGGGTATAGATTTGCACCTGACGAAAAATGTATAAAAAATTTATATCTTGGAAAGAAAAAGACGGAACCTACATTTTTCGTAGATCTTTTATCTTATTTGTCGTGTAAAATTAAATGGTATGAACATGAAAGTTTATTAACGTACTTTGTAGACGAACACTGATTATAAGCGAAAGAAGTACTACTTGATCCACTCATTATAATCTGTATTATTTTTTTATCATTCTTCCCTTCACTTCAACAATCACAACCTTTGATTAATTACAACAAAATAGAGAAAATTGGAGATAGGCATAATAAAGCAAGCTAATTAGATGCCCTTTACGCCAAATAACATTTTTTTTTTCATACAATAGAACAAAAGCGATTGATATATGAGAGGGAATAGGAATCACACTTTTAACAACAAATATATCAATAGTACATAGTGAAAGGAAGACGTTAATAAATACTAAGAAAAGTAATACATAAAAACTGCTCTTTAAAGATGTTTTCTAGTGGGCTTCTCCCGCACTTATATAGGAATATCATTTCAATAGTAGCATCTGATAACTGTTGCGCAGAATCTCCATATATATTTATTCTGAAGGTGCAAGTGTTCAGGTGCTGCAACTATATACTTATAGTGTCATAATCATGGATCTCAGACACAAAAGACAGAGAAAAATTAGGCGATTTTTCATCTACAATATGATCGTAAAATAGTTGACACGCACTTATTAACTTTAGCCTCCAACTCTCGTTAATTTTGATTACGTATAAAGCAAATTAATGAGGATAAAAACGACGATAAAGGACAAAAATAAAACGGACGTAAAAAAAAAATATATATATATATATATATTATTCACGTTTGTCAAACACACAGAGACAAAACTGTCGTACACATTCTGGAACGAACACCTTCATTCCTCGGTTCCTCCCTCCCGAATCCGCTCCAAACCGAACAATATACTGTTTCTTATTCTAATAGAATGTTTGTTGCTCCTGTCAGAGGAAGTTACTGCAAACATTTCAAAGTGTTATCCTTTTCTTTTTTTCCTTTCCATGTTCAGCTACATTGCTTTTTAAAAGAGTATTGCAAACGATAAGAACTACGAAGAGAAAACTGTATATTTTAGAATTTCAAAGGTTCTCCTTTGAAACATAAGTTGGATTCACCATTCTGCAGAATTTTTCTCTCGTAATATAAGTTACGATTGAGAGAAGATGGAATGATAAATACGAGCAAACGAAGGATATCTTACTCACATCTCAACGATGTTCTGTTCTCTGCGAGAATGTTAACCTCAAATCGAACTTGGGTGAGTTCCTTCATTATTTCTTCCAGGCAAACTGCAGTGTTCTTTTGGCAATCTATTGGCAATGCACGCATTGATGGTAGAATTTGAAAAGTCACAAAAAGTGCAAGAGACAGTAGAGCAGAACCTGAAGAGAAGAAGTCATCGAGCGTTATGAGGTCACTTCATCTACGATATGTTATACAGTTACATTTCCGAATGAATTTCTGACAACAAACGAAAAGAAATTATGGGGTCCTTTTGATTGGGAAATCTGGATTTAGTTTTTGATATCCGGATCTCGGATTTTGCGACAAAGCATGAAGTCAAAAAACCAGATTTTAAATCTTAAAAACCCGTTCTTACAGGGGATTATTATTATTATAAGTTATCCAACTTATGGTATCACGAAGTTCCTTCTTTTGCGTTCTTTTAAAAGACGAGTGCTATCTTTTAATCCCATGAAGCATATGCTATTTTAAAATTATCCTATCAGTCATTTCATTCCAACACATGATTTTCCAAACAATGGTTGGGCAAGAAATTGAAACACCTACAAACAAGAAGCTTGCAAGAGCTCCCCTGCGCTATTTTAACCCGCTCGCAATTTTTAAAAAAGAACAATAGCTGTTAATTTTGGCATTCCCAAGGTAGAAACGAACTCAAAACTACATCTGCATAATCCAAGAGATTCAATTCAGCCAACTATTGAACAAGGCGATCGAGTTTTTTAGGTGAAATTGTTCAGGGCTCATTGCAAAAGAAAGTTATAGGCTACCACGTGCGTGAATGATCGACTGTTTCAGATAACTGACTTTACTTCATTTATCATACCACGACTGAAAGATTTCAAAACGTTTGGAGTTCGACTACTGTTCCCTGTGATCGAGCACACTGACTGGGTTTTGAGAGTTGTTGGTGTTTGCTATAATGAGAGTCGCATACAAACCCCATCGGTTAAAAGGAGATGCAAACTTCAGCCTCTTCGTATTCAATAGCTTCAAAACGAAAATTCCATATTTGGAAAAACGAAGCATAGGATATAATCAAGTAAGTTGTTCAAAACTGTGACTTCCATATCGAACAATGTTACATACCCATTCCTTGTCGATTGTCCCTCACTTTGATTCGTCGGGTGTTGTTTGCAGTGTTATTCATAAAGGCTGCAAAAAGATAAAACCGATTTTATGATAAATATAGGAAAGAACATTAAGAAACTCTATGGAAAAAGCTCAATGGGAAAGTTTTTCCTAAAAGTAATAGGACCCTACATACTGCTGAGTTCACTTACTTCACTTACTTATTTACCCTAACCACCCGCCTCCTTCGTGCTCTGTTCAGGAACTAATAAAAGTCCGTGCGAATTTGTCTGCTAAATATACCCAGAGAAAACAAAAAGTAGACAAATCCTATTGTCTCAGGCCGTTCCAGGGGTTAGAAATTCTGTTAATCCTTAAAATAAAACTAAGGCAGCTAACTACATCGAGAATCTACGACGGGGTCGTAACAGGAAGTTTCTAGTTTTGGCTCGTCTTTGGTCAGTCTTTTTCATAGTGGCGACAACTTGCATGTAGTCGTCAACCATATCACTGAAATGTGACATGATTGACGACTACAGTATCGTAACAGCTAGTGTTCAGAATTCAGCAAGTCTTCTAGAAATATCTTAGTTTCAATTTTTTCTGCCTAAACAAGATTTAAAATAGTGTTTGATGAAGTCTCTTCCGGACCCATCTTTGTTTATTGATATGATAGATTTTCCTTCGTGAGAAAGATCTATAACAATGAATATTGCAAAGCAAATCAAATGGCATTCAGTTATTAGTTATATTGGACTTATCATTATAAACAGTAGCTATAAAGCTGTTTTATATCCTCTGATATTTGACACTTCATGAGAGCTTAATGGCTTTGTTATAATCCTAATTCCGTTCCTTAATCATGCAGGCACTTCGGAATGCAGACCAAACAAACAGATTCTTAGAACCAAAATGGTTGCTATTTATCAGTTACCAAGTTTTATAAAAGGAGTCCTTGGAACAGCATGGTCAAAATTTCAGAGAGTGTTGCTTGAATACGCATATATTTTCACTGTTATGTGGGCAAACGGTTTAGCTACCATTTCGCGCCATTTATGAAAGAAACGAAATGAAGTTAAGGAAGTCTAAAAGCAACTTTGTGCCTTAAATAAAAGGAAAAGATAAGAGAAGAAGATGTTGGCAATTTTCCGTAGCCTCTAATCCTTCCTAAGCTCTTCTCATCAGTTTTCATCTGTCAATCAAATCACTATCTAACTCATACGGTTACGGTGGCTACAACTTTTAAAATCATTTGGATAAAATTATTTCCGCAAGCGACATTTATTGAACTTTTCCTCATCATCTTACACACGTTATCAATGACGTGTTTCGATAGAAATTTCGAAAGAAAAACTCATTTCTACAATTTGTTTTCCTAACAGTTTTGCATTGGTTATCCAGCGTGGGTTACCTCGGTGTTTGATTGGTTTTTTTCCTGAAGCGGCTAATGAGGTAAAAACTTGATATATGACACTAGTTTTCCGGCACAAGCATTACACTGATTAACATTCCGTTTTCTGAAATGTTTTCCCCCGATTTTCTAGTATGTTGTAAGCGTTTTCAGAGAGCCCAGAATCACCGATAGAAAATAACAACTGGCGATCAACAATAGATATTTATGCTAGATTTCCTTTCTTAAACATAGCAACGTATCATCTAAATAGACAGCTTTTTCTAAATTTCGAATCCGATTTAACGGAGACTTTTAATTGACGATGAAGAAATCGGAATTCATAATTCATGTTTTAGTTACGAATTCGTTATTTTCAAAGGGTATTGAAAACTTCCACGAATCAAATCAAGAGGTCCATGTTGCTGAAGGCAGACGGCTTTTTGGGGCAACTGGGTTATCTATCATTTCATTTCTATCATTTGGATTATTTTTTCTAGTTGAATCATTCATGTCTCTTGGATCATTTCTGCCCGTGGCGTCATTTGTGTCTCTGAATCATTTGTGTCTATTGGATCGTTTGTGTCTATTGAAGCATGTGCGTCATTTGAAGCGTTGGTGTCTGTTGGATTAGTTATGTCTATGAGATCATTTGAGTATGTTAAGTCATTTGTGTCTATCGAAGCTTTCGTGTCTGTTGGATCATTTGTGTCCATTGAAGCATTTGTGTTTATTGAATCATGTTTGTCTGTTAGATCATTTGTGTCTGTCAGATCATCTGTGTTCATTGAAGCATTTGTGTCTGTCGGATCATTTTGTGTCTCCAAACCGTTTCATTATTGTGATAAGGACGGAATTATAATAATCAAAATAACATGCCTAATATTTTATGGGTCACCATCAAAGTATTAGACAAGCACACGTCAGCAGTTTGCACCAATATTGTATTAGAAAAGAATACGTCAGTCCAAATCACATTGCCAAATGCATGGGGACGATTACGCTCTTAAATGCACTTAGTGCCAAGTAGTCAGGAATATACTACAAGGGTTTTTTTTTTCTTTAAAAAAAGGAAATGTAGATGGTGGAATGTAGATGAAGAAATCTGCGAGACTGAGTATCGTCGTAATTGTGTAAGGGTGGACATGCTCGCTGCATTGGCTCACTACAATCGTGTGATTGTTTTCAAATTTGTTTTTTCAAAATTATCGTCATAAATGTTGAGACATCTCCCCTTTCCTTTTCTTCGAAGTTTTTAAAGTGAAAAAAATGGACAGTTGTTAAAAAGGCTCAAACTTATCTAATGGGGTGCCGGATGTTTCAACAAAACTTGACGAGCGTGGTCGACAAGGCTCAAAAGGGTCCAGCAAAAGGGATCACTAGCTTAACTGAATACGTTGCGTCGTTTTTCAGCTGCTGGATTTCAAAATTATTGTCAAACTACAACATTTTAATTTCAAAACCGTATAATTTCAGAATTTTAAAGATTTTCAACACAAACCTATGCAATTTTCTGGTCGTGAATTCGAGTAAACGACGATTCAAGCATGCTGAATCTACTACGTAGTCTCGCATACAAAATTTCATTCATTTTTCGCTCCTTTTTCCCTTATAAATTAGACGGAGTTTAATATATTTGTCAATCATTTATCTGCTGCTAAGGTGGGCACTTCCAGAGCAAGCATCAATAGGGCAGGCAAGACAAATGCTACTAAGGGTGTGGAAAACCATTTTAATGAATATAGTGAACTTCATAAAAGAGGGATAGAGGCACACCAATATGCTTCTTTCATGGAGATGATGGGCATGAACAATATAACAGGTATTCTAAATATAATCATTGCTCAATGATAGCTTTTGAAGTACAAACTATTTGGGTGATTTTTATACTATCTAGGATAATATTGAAGAGAGGAACATTGATTATAGGTGGTCTTGTGAAATGCACTGTAAGGATTTATAAAAATATACTAGCTTTCGAACATCCCTCTATCCACATTCCCTTCATTAGATAAACCTTGCTTACCCATGCCTGATACTACACTATCAAAGACGTTAAGGGCAACATGGCTTCTGGAATTATGCGAAGAGCATGTGAAAAAGTATTCCTTCAACAGAAATGAACTGACTTCATTAATTACAGTAACCACTGAACTTGATACAGCCCTCAACAATGATTCCTGCTGGACATGCCGTGCTGACAGTTGTGAAATGAAAAGAATCCTCAACTTTGCCTAATTTATTTGAGACTTAACAATCATTGTGATTTTCCTCTAATAGAAAAGCTTTCTTTAAATTAAATTGCCACAAAATAATGATGTTTGAGCGCAATCTTCTGTCTGGTCTTAATCATAGCACTTACACAACTGGCTTAGAGAGCACATTGACTTATTGGGCACTATCTTCCAACAAGAAAGATAACTAGTAATTAAAAGTAGTTGATACAGAGATAGAGTACCGTAAACACCAGCCAAAAACCTGCACCCTACACTGGTAACTGAAAAGAAATGATTTGGGGTCTTAAAAATTTGTATTATTTTGTTTGCTTACTGGAAAAATACACGTGCGAAAAGTCATTGTGCATGAAGGAGATTCAGGTCCCAGAATGTTTTGTTAACATACGAAGAAATAATTTGCAGGAAATACAACAAAAGGTCAGCTTTTTGAAGAGTGTAATGTTATTTAAGACAGGAAAATGTTTATCGTGCAAGGAAAACAGATTTGTCGATAAACCTGATGAAATTAAAGATGTTAATCTCTTTCGAATTTCTTCCAACTGATTTACTTTCTTTGGTTTATTTTTCAGCTAACAATGGTACAATCTCTGAAAATGTTCCCAAAAATTATTACCTACTTTTTTGCAAAAGAGGCAACAACAAAAATGTTATTTTTGCACGCTATCTCTAACCTCTGGACAGCACAGGCCCCACAAAATGGTGCAGAACATCACAGCTCTTGACTTTTTGGGTCACTGTCAATACCGGGGGAGATAGTTTCAAAATAAAACCAGTTATTTACATTTGGTTCTCCTTGTAGAACTGAACTATTGGAATTTTCGAACATAGGTGCCAATGATTCTTCACAATTAGGAATGTCCATGAACACTTCCTGAATCACTTCTAGTATTTTTAATGCGTTTGTCCATGAGAAGACACAAGTGCTTTGCACTGTAAGTATTAAGCCCGCTGGGCTCGTCTTTTTCAGGTGTGATAATCCCGAAGTTAATTTGATTTAATCTCATTAAATATGTCATGGGCCGACTAACTTAAATTATCAACACTCTCGAGTTAGCAGCTGGATAATGTTACTATGTCGATATTCGAATGTCATGGTTTTTGCCCGCCTATCTTTTCTTTGCAGTTTCGTATTTCAAACGCGTGATTCAGTAGCAGTAGAGATGGCACCTGGGAAGGGTTTCTCGCCCTTCACTCCGGTCATCAGCCCTGAATTAAGTCCACAATTGACTTAGTTCATTCTAAGTTCGAAAGTTTGTGGATCAACGCCGACGCAATACTTTAAGCGGTCGCCTGTTGTCGCCAGTTTTCCAAGCGATTTTCAAAGAATCGACAGTGCCCACATTCGGCTGCTAGATGGCCACCATTACTCGAACAAGAAGTCCTCTAATGCAACGGAAATTGTCTGTTCTTCGTTTGGGTTGATAACCACTCTGCTTCACCGTTCCTCTTCAGAAAGCTCTGAGTTCATTTCGCAGCTGAGAGATTTGCTGAACTCAGTATATCTCAGTAAAATGTCTATCGACGAAGAAAATGAAGGCCAAGCAAACAAAGAACGACCACGTGCTTCACGATGCTTGGAAATGCCAACGACACCAACGAACAAGACATCATCTGTGGCCATGACACCCCCAAACAGTGGAAACTCGCAAAGAGCTGAAAAAAAGAATGTTTCCCCAAATCTAAAGGAGATCAGCGAAAAGGAAGATTTGGATACTCCAGAAAAGGTGCTGTTGATGAAGCAGCGAAGCAGTCGCGTCATCAAGGAAGTGCATAACGTGTGCGAAAGAAACAGGGAAAGTTTGGCGATGGTGCTTTCGAACATGTGCGCATTTGGCGACCCAGAAGCGAAGGCCATCGTCAATGAAATTGTCGAAGAGATGGCTGTAAAAATGGGAGTACATCACAGGGCTCAGAAGGACGGGGGTAAGATGTTTAGTTACGTTGGTCTTACGTCGGTATATTAATATTCATACTTGGCGCCCCGGCTAAGGGAGTAAAAGAACAAAAAAAGAACTATTCCATCGCGAGCCTCAATGTTTATAGCAGTTCTTTCTTTTGTTTTATTCAGTTATTCTCGTAAGCGAAGCCTTGTACAGGAAAAGATAAGCAGGCTTTTTTTATTACTTAAGCGGGCGTTTTACTCAACTGCGTCTTCAAAATTACCCTAGGTCTGTTTTCCAGAGCAATTTCAGCCAGTGGTAAGCTCTTTTTCAGCTGGTGAAATATGCTGGAAGCCGTATGATAATCATCCACATATTTTTTTTGTGTGTATGTGTGTTGTACTTCCAAATCAAAATAACTATAACTGTTAAATTTTTTTGGCCTTGCAAGCAGTTCTTTGTATGGAAGGTGGTCATTATAATAATGTGTAAGGTGAAATGGGTTGGTGAAGGGTGCAGTTTTTGTCTTGACTAATTTAGTGTAAAAAATTGTTTTGCAGGTAGAGCTCATATGTTGTTTGGAATTGTTCCCCATGATGGTGCTGTATATAGCCAGCAAAGTGCAAAATCAGTCTACACATTGACAATTGCCAACTGTAAAGAAGACAGGTTTGTGAATTGCAACTTGCTTGAACTCTTTACTACCTTCTGGCTAGAATATGCTTGTGGTTGTATGTGCATTTAACTTAAATAACACAATGACAGATTTTTGTAAGCCCCACTCAGTTGCAATATCACCAGGTCATGCATCCACTCTGAGATCTAAGTGGATTGATATCAATATCCCTAATTTGGCTTTAATGCACTAAATATAATAATGACTGTATAGATTTTTGGTTTTTGTTTGTTGACAGAGACAACCTCAAGATTCTTTTTGAGGAAATCAACCACCAGAAGAAAATATTAAAGGAAAAAGGAATGACAGTTGATGGTAGACATTACACCGTTGAATTTCTGGGTAAGAATCAATGTTAGTCTTGGAATTTGCTTTAAAAGTCAACTTCTTGTTCATGATACTATTTATAGCAATTTATTGTGTTTCTACCCAGTTGGTAGTCTGACTAGAACTAGATTGAAGCAGTAGTCAAACTATAGTAAATTAAGAGTTTTTTATATTGTAAAACATGTTCAAGGTTTAACTGCAGCAGCAAGAAATAAAACCTGGAATTTATTACTATTTTACGTCAGAAATTGATTTGACTACCCTTTTCTTTAGATACATTAGAGATTAATTTCCTGGAAAGTTTAGCATGTTAACTTTTGCTTTCCCATTTCTGTTATCAAACTTAGTTGTACTGGACTACAAGACCTTGGTACTTCTTTTGGTGAAGAAGATGAATGCTTCATTCATGTTAGGTGGTAGAGGTGTCAGTGTCGAGTTCTGTTTCATCTGCAATGCTATCAGGGTAAAGTACTCAAATGATATAGAAATTAGTATGGGGCAACTGCAACTTGTGCTGTTAAAGTTGAGGTACATAAAAGTGCTGCATCAGTTCATCAACTTTTTTTACAGTGATTTCAGATGACTTTGATCTTTGCCAATATTTGGGAAAATAATTAGTGAGTGATAGAAACATCAAGTAGCTTTAATTCAGTCAAAAAAAGTTGTAAAGTACTTCTCTAAAGGTCATTCTGCTTTTAAAACATTTAAAAATCACTGAAAGTATGAATACATGTACTGTAAAAAGAACAGGGCTCACACAGAGTCATAAATTCTTGGAAAAGTCTTGATTTTCCAGACCTGGAAAGAGTCTTGAAATTGAAGATAATGTCTAGAAAAATAGTTCAAGTCTGGAGTTTTTTTTATAGCTACAAAAAGTGCTTAATAAGTTCATTTTTTTCCCCTGTGGTCAATTCAATCTCGCCTGTAGCTAAGACATTCAATCACAGAATGAGAAGTTTCACAATTGCACCATGGTTATTGTACATTTGCAGTGCATCATGAAAGAAACTTGGTTTCTGCATTTTTCAAGATCTCTATTGATCACCTATTTGACCATCTTCAGTCTGGAAAAATAAATTGATGTTTTGGAAAAAAGGTCTGGGAAAAGTCTTGAATTTTGGATCCAAAAATCTGCATGAACTCTGAAGAAGATAATCAGAAGCATGATAAATGTGTAGTTCTATCTGAAATTATAATATTATATATTATTTGATAGTGTGCCTGTTTTTGTCAGGGTTGCAAATGCCATGATGTTGCTCCAGATGAGACATGCCTGGATTGCCTCAGAAGCAAATGCAACATGGGAAGGTGTGTAGGCATTTGATCATTGTCATATTAAATTACATTCAAACACATAAAGGGGATTTTCTTACTGTTACATAACAAAATGAATTTTGTAAGCCATGGGGAAATGACTTGTACTAAAGCATGAACTGAAATTAAGTGTATAGTTTGGGGTTTTTTTTTTAAATTGTTGCTAGTAAACTAAAATCCTCATTCAGGATCTTTTGCCAAACTTGGAAGGTTGCCAAAAATTGTTTTCATACTGTCAGGGTACTCATAGTTTGGTAATTGAAAAAGAAAAAGAAAAACATTTTTAGAGAAAAACATGAAATAATTCATTGCTTCAGAAAATCAATCATTCTTTGAAATTGTCTTGTAGATCAACTGGTATACGAGATGATCTGGTTTTTCTTTTGGACGAAGAGCTTTGCAACATTCAACTTTGTGCTCTCCATATGGAGATGCGCAACACTGAACAGTTGTTGGCATCCATTGGTCTTCTTGCATACAGGGTAGATTCCCTAGCAGAGGCCAATGCTGCCTTGAAAAACTATGGCCCAGAGTCATTTCATGGCGATTGCATCTCAGTAAAGAAGAAGTCAGATCAACAGTCTGCTATTACAAAGCAGAATATCCATGTCAGTTCAATGTCTGGTAAGACATTTCCTAAAATAATGTTTTCAAGAGATGTTTTCCATAGGTCTTAGGTAAAATCTTTTTTTTTTCTTTTTTAATTTACTCTCATGCTGTTGTGTCTCAGGTCCAACAGATCAGGAAATCCTTCAACACCTTGAAGAAATTGTAGAACTTGCCCTACCACTGGATAAATTCAAGAAGCCGTATGAAGATGTGAACACGGCAAAAAATTTGATCCTTAACAGAGTTACATTTTACCAGGCTCGTGTTGATGTTAGTAAGAAGCAACTATTATTTTTATACTTGCAACTTGATTTAACATCGTGTAGTCAAGATCATTGGTAATGTGTATTCATTGAGTTCATACAGCGTCCAGACGATCCGTCGGAGTGCGCTTTAGGAATCAAATACCTCTGTGAGTATTTCTTTAATTGCTACAGTCTCCTATGTAATTTGCCCATCTTATGACTAATTCCATCACACAGCAGCTTGAAATTAATGGAGCTCCATTAACTGAAAGCTACTGCATGTAGGAATATAGGTGAGCTCAGGATTGAAGTGTGAACCATTGTTTAATTTTAGCATGTCTGATTCTGTTAGTTAACACACCTTAAAGTGTAGAGTAACACAGAATTTTCTATAGTTAGAGATCCATAGGTGCAGTGTAACCCAGTGTTTAATTTAGTTAAAGGTAACTAACATAGGCTGCATGTTAGGTGGCACACCCATAGGTGCAGTGTAACCCAGTGTTTTCTTTAGTAAACAGTAACTAACATAGGCTGCACTTAAGGTGGCACACCCATGGGTGCAGTGTAACCTAGTGTTTTATTTAGTTAAAGGTAATTAACATAGGCTGCACTTTAGGTGGCACACCCATGGGCACAGTGTAACCCAGTGTTTTCTTTAGTAAACGGTAACTAACATAGGCCACTTTAGGTGGCACACCCATGGGTGCAGTATAACCTAGTGTTTTATTTAGTTAAAGGTAATTAACATAGGCTGCACTTTAGGTGGCACACCCATAGGTGTAGTGTAGCCCAGTGTTGTATTTAGTAAAGGTAACTAACATAGGCTGCATTTTAGGTGGCACACCCATGGGTGCAGTGTAACCCAGTGTTTTATTTAGTTCAAGGTCACTACTGTAGGCTGCACTTTAGGTGGCACACCCATAGGTGCAGTGTAACCCAGTGTTTTCTTTAGTAAACGGTAACTAACATAGGCTGCACTTTAGGTGGCACACCCATGGGTGCAGTGTAACCTAGTGTTTTATTTAGTTAAAGGTAATTAACATAGGCTGCACTTTAGGTGGCACACCCATGGGTGCAGTGTAAACCAGTGTCTTATTTAGTTAAATGTAACTAACATAGGCTGCACTTTAGGTGGCACAACCATGGGTGCAGTGTAACCCATTGTTTTCTTTAGTTAAAGGAAACTTACTTTGGCTGCATTTAGGTGGTACACCCATAGGTGCAGTGTAACCCAGTGTTTTCTTTAGTTCAAGGTAACTAACATAGGCTGCATTTTAGGTGGCACACCCATGGGTGCAGTGTAACCCAGTGTTTTATTTAGTTAAAGGTAACTACTGTAGGCTGCACTTTAGGTGGCACACCCATAGGTGCAGTGTAACCCAGTGTTTTCTTTAGTAAACGGTAACTAACATAGACTGCACTTTAGGTGGCACATCCATGGGTGCAGTGTAACCTAGTGTTTTATTTAGTTAAAGGTAATAAACATAGGCTGCACTTTAAATGGCACACCCATAGGTGCAGTGTAACCCAGTGTTTTACTTTAGTAAACGGTAATTTAGTAAAGGTAACTTCCTTTGGCCGCACTTTAGGTGGCACACCCATGGGTGCTGTGTAACCCAGTGTCTTATTTAGTTAAAGGTAATTAACATAGGCTGCACTTTAGGTGGCACATCCATGGGTGCAGTGTAACCTAGTGTTGCTAATGAGTGACTGTAACCCAGTTCAGTTTTTTCTAGAAAGTGCTGTCCTTTTAGTAGCATAAAGACATGCAGACATTCTCTTTAAGACAATGAAATTGGTGTGAGGGAACATTTCTTCAAGTAGTATGGTAGCACAATGTTATGTAATTAATGCGTTTTTCCAAATGTTTAGTACTTTTCAGAAGCTTTAAGCAAGGGCACTTTTGTAAGAGATTTTGGTACACATACTGAGATAATTGATTTGGAAGGCTCAGGTTTGTAGAACAACAGTAATAATAACACTTTGTTTTTTCTTTGGTTACAAGTTCTGATTTTTTCTCACTGGCTAAAGAAGGTTTACCATACTATAATATGACTTTATTGAGTGTTTTATGCTGAAATATAAAAATTTTGGAAAATGAGTTTGGAAAATATTAAAATAATTAAACTTATTGCTAATGATGAGCTTAGGAGCTGGTACCTTAAAGGTTAGTGTGAACCCACTGACCAGCTTTGCTCCAGTTTAACTTTGCCTAAATGATATTTAGCCACATCAAAAGGAGCTTTTTGTTTTTAATTCCTCAAAAAAATTTTACCCAAGGAAAACAAAATGTTTACTTGCAACAGTTATTTGAATGATGTGATAACATATAGGGCCTCTCATTACAGTCTTTCTCAGGTCTTATTTCAGGTTTTGGCTATTTTGCAGATATTAAAGCTGACATGGAACCTCGCCTTGTTCAGTGGCAAGGCAAGTTGGATGAGCTACATGTCTTTTTCAAGAAGTTGTGCAAGTCACGCAAAAAGTCACTATTCACTATCCACTATTGTTTTTCTTGCGTTAGATCTGCTTTTTTCGATTCGATTGCACCTTGACTATTTTTGTACCGCTACTCCTCTTGCGTTATATTTATTTAAATGAGCAATTTTTAAAAGACAGAAAATGTCCTTCTTTCAATAACGTGGCGGAATAAAACAATTACACAAAGATGTTACTATGATACTTTTTGGTACGAAATATTTTAATTTTGACCAGCACTGTTATGCCTAATTTTGTCCATAAACGGACAAAATTGCTCCGATTTTGAGACGACATTACAGCTTTTTGGCAGCGATCGCCAAGAAACTGAATGTGCCACGGAATTACACCCAATTAAGAAAGATATTTTCACCCTTCCAGCAGTCATTAGAAAGCCGTTTTGTCCCCTCAAAATCGGATGTAGTTCACACGTTAAGGGTAATAAACTGATAAAAAATGATTTACAGTTATCCTGTTGTCAATAGGTTCTTATTCACGTAAGCTGGGTCATAATCTATTTCTTGCGGCAGAATCATGGGGAAGAAGTTGTCCTTCATTTTAAAATCGCTGAAATTGTAGTAACTAAACCTTGAATGAAACTATTGTAGGAAGATTCATTACTTGACGAGGGAATTCCCCATTTAATTGCACGCGAAAAGCGATACGCGAAGCGATGAGTGCGATATCGGTTTTTAAGTGCAATTTAACGCGGAATTCACGAGCCAAGTAATGGATTTTCCTTGAATCACATATTTGAATAAAAACAAGATAAAAAGAAAACAGCATTACTTATATTTGTTATGTATACGTGGATGCGAAACAATATCACTTAGCCCCGCTAAACAACTCGCCTCGTCAACCAATCAGAAGGCGAGATTTTATGCAATGATGCGATTCTATCTGATATTAGGTCTGGTTGGACTTGGAAAATACTACACCTAAAATTTAACATCAGCAATCTTACGAGAGAAAGCATAAAGGCTGGAGTCTCTCTGACGGCTTATCTCTGGTTGACATTTTAACAAATTCTCGGACCCTTTCATAAAAACCCAACAAAGACGATATCGCCTTAAGCATTCTTCCCAATGAAAAAATGTCACTGGCAACGCCATAGAGTCGTTCAATAACAACCTCAGGGGCTAAATAGCTTTTCCCTTTGCATTTCATAACGGTGCCGTTTCT